TTTTTTTTTTTTTTTTTTTTTTTTGATTTGGCCGATTGCATGCAGTTTTTAGGCTGGATATGAAGAAACGCTACTGGTAGCAGCAGCACGGTCAGACAAGCAAGTGCAACTATTTATCTGTGCCTGTGTCGGATCGCCTTGTTTTCAGGTGCTGAATCGGAGGAAAGTTTCAAAGACTTAGGGAAAAATCGAGAAGCCATGCGTTTGTGCAGAGAAGGTGAGTGTTGTTTTTTGTTTTTTTTCGCTGTAGGGCCAAAGGTGTATTTTGGTTCTAGGGGTTTGAACATAAGACACAGTGGCTCAAAACACTTTACGCGTTTGGTTCAGTCAGAACTTACTGTGCTCATGCGCATAAATAACAACGTAAACAACTGGCTATTGAATATGAAACATGGTTGTTAACGTGCTTAGTTTCACCTTTACATCTGTACACAAAAACAATAGGAGTCAACAGTTAAGTTTAGGCCCAAACATACTCACTGCTTATCGTTTTCTCTCTGCAACACAGATTTAGTACGTTTCTTTATGTATGTGAGAAAATGTCTAAATAGTCGTGTCTTAAAAGAAACTACTACACCTGAATGAACAGTAGTGTAACTTCATGTTCGCAGGCTAAAAATAAAGGCAATTGCAGCCTTTTATAGCTGAAATTAAATGTAAGGCCCTCAATTTACATTTAAACCAGTAAAAGGTTGTGACCCAAAAAAGCGCCATAAAACTTTCAATGAACGACATTAGATAAATGATGTATCTTTTAAGTAGTTAGAATGTGTGTAAGTGATTGACCTTTTTTTTATTATTATTAAACTCAAAGCCACAATTGTTATTGTAGAATATATTTTCACTAATATAAGAAAACAATAAATAATATGCTGGCTTGAATCAAGGAGACATTCAGCTTGTATTGTTTTTAAAATTCAATATTTTAATTAAATCCCGAAATTAAGACTATTTGGTTCATTTGAAACTAAATGTGCTTGTTAATCAAGTTAGCAATTTGGCCTTGTCACACACTACAGCCTGATCAAGGTTTCTACCT